AAAAAGGAACTGTGCTCTGTGATAATGACTGCTTACAGTTGTTAGCTGATCATAAAAGACTCCACTTTTTTTTCTCTAAACAAGACCCTTGTGGTGATGATGGTGCCTTGCAGTGTGGATTATCTGGCTGGGCTCATCCCACAGACAAATCCCACTTTATTCCCAGAATTCCTGTGTTCCTGTGCCCTCTGTGCTCATCACAAACGAGAGTTTGTAGAGCTCTGAAAAAAAAAAGGCAGCCAGAGATAAGGCAAAGCATTCCAAAATCTCTCCTTCCCTTCTCTGACTTCTTCCATTGCAATCAAGAGGAGAAACAGAACAAAGCGGATTTAGGGTGTTGAAGGCTACAGGAAATTCCTTGTGCTGTGCAAAACCCAACAACCCCACAGAGGGAGCCCAAACAGCCTCCAGGTCCTGCCAAATATTCCACAGATGGATGCAGTGCCAGGGAGGTTGGAGACCACAGCAGATGAGAGATACAACACACGAGACTTCCCAAAAGCCCAACTTGGACCTTAGAGATGCAAACACCTGCTTCACCTAAAAGTGACCCTCATCCCACCAGGAAAGGGGGGAATGCAGACAGGAATCACAGTGTCTGCTCAACACATTCTCTACATTCAAAGTAAAAAATAAAAGTAAAGTAAAGCCCGTGAGAGCAATTTTTAGATTGTAAGTGATTTTGGAACTTAGGACATTTTCAATGAATTTGCACTCAAAATGTTCACAACTGTGTTACAAGAGTTAAAATCACTAAATGACAGGGAAACATCCACTGAACTTTCTAGGTCAGCTTCTGTTACAGAAAGGTCAGTTATAATTTGCAATATTCTCTGTTGAAACTCCTCATTATTTTGTAAATCATGCACAACCAATATAGGCTTACAGTACTTAAATTGCACAAGCAGGCCCTTAGTACTCCTCCTTTTGCTCTGTGTTTGCACAGCACCACAAGTTCTCTGCAGCACTACCAAAACACACCAAAAAAATCACATTGTTGATGGTAAAATCATTGCTTTAGGGTTAAATTGATGTGTTACATTCACAGCCTCAAAGGGAGAGAGCGTGTCCTGTTCTGTTTTGTTGTTGACACTGGTTTCACGTTGTTCTACGGGCTCTAAATAAAAGGATGTGCTTGGAAAATCAGGACTGTGCCTTTCCAGTGCTGCTTTGGAGTAGACAAGAACATGACAACAACATTTGCTGCAATTTTACTAGGAAATAAAATATTCTGAGCACTGGCACACAACCCCCCGCAGGGTGAAATTTCCAGAAAAGCCCCTGGCATGGCTTGGACCAGTGCAGAACTGAGCACACACAATTCCTGGCTCCATTTCAGGACACAGATTATTCCTGTTTGGCAGGTTGTATGACACTCACCTGCCTGGAAAACAATTGGAGTTCAATAATCCAACTGTGGGTTGCACCACTCTTTACCCTCCAATCTAAATAATAGGCCTGGGCAAGCTTAATTTGCTAATTTGAGCACAGCCAGGACACAAGTGAACTATTCAGGGACTTATTTAGGAGAACTCCTTGTCATTTGCTGGGAAATTAAACAAATCACTGAAATCTCATCTGTCTTGTAGGTTTTGCCTAAGAGAGTAACCAAAGTGGATTGTTTGAGCAGAATCCTCTAAATTGGCCTCATTACCTGGCTGTCGTGTTCAAACAAACATAATGTTTACTGGGAGAGGAGGAAGAGTTCAGAAATACCTTTTTTTTTTCAGGCAGAGCAGATTAATAATATATACACATCTTTGTCAGGAAGAAAAGCAGAGAGAGCAAAAATAGCTCTCAAGTGAGGCTGCAGCTACTGACTCCCCTGTTCCTGGATCCATGACAGCCATTATGTAACCAAAAGGAAAATAAGAGGAAAGAAACAGCAGAAGTTAATTGGGTTGATATCAAGTAAAAATATAATTAGTCCAAGTATTTTGTGGCAAAGGCGCTGACAGTATGTGGCTGTTCCTCAGCCTCAGTGGTGAGCAGGGATCCTGCCATGTGTTTAAAACTTATTCATCAAGCATTCCCATGGAAACACACAGATGCATAACCTTTGGATCACTTATTTCGGGAATTGCTGCTCCCAAGGTTCTCTCTGGAGTGAAAACTCAGTCCAGGAGAGGGTAACAAGCTGTGATTCTGATCTAGAAACCTCTCCACAAAAGGAATTCATTCATAGCAGGACTGGGTGGGGGAAAGAAGGAAAGGGCATCTTGCAAAAAAAGAAAAAAAAGAGAAAAAGACAAAAAAATTGACCTTAATTTTTCCTCTCAGAGACTGGCAGTTGAGAAATGACAGCGCTGGGAAAAGCCTGGAGAGTTTATAAATGGCCAGATGTCCTCAGGAAGACTGAAATGTCTGCAAGAATGTCAAATAAATGCTGTAATGAGAGAGACTTTGGTTGAACACTGGGTTTGTTGTCCAAAGCTACCCCCTTACAAAGCCAGATGAGAATCAGCTCCACTACAACTTCTCCAGGTTAAGAAAAACCTTCCCACATTGGAATTGTCACATTCTGATCCCACTTACTGTGACAGCAGCTCCCTGCTCCTGCAAAACCTATGGACACTTGATAAAATGTGGCCCTTCCTTCATGCTGTGAAAGGCTGGTCTGGCTGGTTGTGATGCACAAACCCACAAAAAGCATTTGGAAAGCATCAGTACAAATTTGCTGTCTGAATAAAATGTGTTTTACTGCTCAAAGTACTTCCACAGGAAATAAACACTGTATGGAGTGCTGTGGTGGGAGGGCAGCCCTGGATGTCCCTTCACGTCCCTCCTGCTGCCAGGAATAAAATCAGCACCTGGGTCCCCTTTTAGGATAATTTCTGGTAAGAGATGCTCAGACAGGGAGGTCTGGGACATGATTCCCTTTAACAGAGGGCCAGGAGTAAGGAATACTCTAAATCAACAGGATTCTCCCACTCCTGGTCTCTGTGTCCATGCCAGGCTCTGACTGGGAGGGGGAAGCAAATTATTCATAATGCCTGGAAGATAATGAACCCCATTATATCAGCATTAGTAGTTTAACATAAAGCCTCAAAAGCCAGAGCCTTCATAGGTTGTTCATAATAATTTGAAGATTCTGTTGCTGCAGTGACATGATAACTCCTGTGGACTGGAATTTCCTTAGGCACAACGGAGAGCTGAGCAAAAAGTGTGAAGCCTTAACTTCAGATTTTCTGGCTTTGGCTTAAGTCTGCCTCACAAGGGCCCTGCACTGCCTTTTGATTGTGTTTTGTCATGCACTCCCCAGCATCAGGGATAATTCAGGCAGGCACTCTGTCACTGACTGGGGCAGTTCATTCAGAACTGAGGGCCCTGTGACACAGCTCCCAGTGCTGCTGCTGCCATCAGCGCTGATAACGCTCTGCTGACACACAACAAACTGAAAAGGTGACAGGATGGGGGGCACAACCTTAAAACACGGAATTGCTCTCAGATTTGGTGCTACTGTAGGGCTTTGGGACTTTCTTTGAAAGAGGAGCAGGTCAGGAGGAGAGACAACCAGGCTACAACCCTTTCTTCCTCCCTGTATTTCAATAAAACTCTGCAAGGGTCTGTAATCTTTTTCTGCAGGGATGAACCTGCACATCTTGAAAGAGCTACAGGTGCTGAAAGACTCCACACAGGATCTGCTGCAATGTTTCTAAGAGTGAAAAATGCTTTTAGAGCCACCATGACCCGCTGAGAGCAGCCCCTTGTGCAACACTCCATAAAGAATGGTACAAAATCACAGCAGTGCTGCTTTTTACATGGGATATTGGGAAGAAATCCCAATCTCACTACCCTGTGAGAGTAATGAGGCCCTGGCACAGGGTGCCCAGAGAAGGTGTGGCTGCCCCATCCCTGGAAGTGTCCAAGGCCAGGTTGGACAAGTCTTGGAGCAGCCTGGGACAATGGAAGGTGTCCCTGCCCATGGCATGAGGTGGGGACTGGGTTATTTTAAGGTCCCTTCCCACCCAAACCATTCTGTAATTCTGTATTCAGAGTCAAGCGCCTGGATAGACCCACCAGAAGACTTTTCCCTTTACAGTATGGCAGAAGAATGACAGCAGAGAGAAAGAATTAGGAATTCAAGAGCTGAAATTCCTGCAGGAAGAAGCCCCAGAAAACAGAAAGATTTCAGTTGAAAACAACAATTACCCCAGACCTCACCATGTCCTCCATGCAAAACACATTCGATTAAACCACTCTCCTCCTCAGTACACTCTTTTTATCTATGGCACACAACCATAATAAAGCTATTTATCTTCAAAGGCTGGGAAACTAAAAAAAAATAAAAAGGCCCAGATCATTAGAGGACAAGGTACACTTGAATTAAAGGCCACAGGCACAGTGAATTCAAATGAAATCTGAAGTACCATGGGTTGTACATTGCTGGGAGAAGGACACACAATTCCCTGCCTCATTACCAGCAAGATATTGATTTTCTTTGGAAGTGTGCTTGAATTGCTCTTGATAGATATTACAACTTTCCTTCAACAAGAGGAGGATTGGTTCTTTCTAAAAACTGTTGGCTTTTTTTTAAAGAAAAAACAACCTCCTTGTACTTATGTAATACTTTCCCCACAGCAATGCAATTGATGGAAAAAAATAGCTTATAACAATAGCTCATTTTCTCTGCTCACCCCCAAGTGAATCTATTCCCTCATTTATGTCTTTTATCTCCGTAAGATCTTTTTTGGTGCATAAAAAATTTCATTCATTAAACTGAGAAGGGGAGAGGAGGGAAGGAATATCTGCTTAAACCCATCTTGTGGAATTTAAATATGGGAGTGGATAGGATGACCTGATAAGGAACGAGAGTTTGCTTTCATTTTATTTCTTTGTAGCAATATAACGAGGGTGCTTGGCATCGTGTGATTTTTGTGTTAGCAAAGAACAAGTATGATCATTTTATTGATTAACACAGGAAAAGGTTGTGTATTGACTTAGAGCAATTATAAGAGGAATAATGACTTTTCCTTGGTTTTTTTTGTTTTCCATGGCAGCCAACGTCCTGGAAGAAGACTCAATGGAGCAGGACATCGAGAGCCCTGTCACTATCCATCAACCAAAGTTACCCAAACAAGCGAGAGAGGATCTGCCAAAAAACATCAGCAAAGAATGTGCCAAGAGAAAAATCCAGAGGTACGTTCGGAAAGATGGGAAATGCAACGTCCACCACGGGAATGTCAGAGAGACTTACCGGTACTTGACTGACATCTTCACCACCCTGGTGGATCTCAAGTGGAGGTTCAACCTGTTGATCTTTGTCATGGTTTACACGGTGACCTGGCTCTTCTTCGGCATGATCTGGTGGCTCATTGCCTACATGCGAGGGGACATGGATCACATAGGGGACAGCACGTGGACCCCCTGCGTCAGCAACCTCAATGGGTTTGTCTCAGCCTTTTTATTCTCAATCGAGACCGAAACCACCATTGGGTACGGTTACCGGGTCATCACGGACAAGTGTCCCGAGGGAATTATCCTGCTTTTAGTGCAGTCTGTCCTAGGTTCTATCGTCAACGCCTTCATGGTTGGCTGCATGTTTGTGAAAATATCCCAACCCAAGAAGAGGGCAGAAACCTTGGTTTTTTCTACAAACGCAGTCATTTCCATGCGGGATGGAAAGCTGTGTCTGATGTTCCGAGTAGGAGACCTTAGGAATTCACACATTGTAGAGGCATCAATACGAGCCAAGTTGATCAAATCCAAACAGACAAAGGAGGGGGAATTTATACCACTCAACCAGACAGATATCAACGTAGGTTATTACACAGGGGATGATCGTCTCTTTTTGGTTTCACCACTGATCATCAGCCATGAGATTAACCAGCAGAGTCCTTTCTGGGAGATTTCCAAAGCCCAGTTGCCCAAAGAGGAGCTAGAAATTGTTGTAATCCTAGAAGGAATGGTGGAGGCAACAGGTAACATTTCTTATACTTTGTATAAGGTAAATGCTTTAATTTTAGCAAGGAAAATCAGTGCTTTTGCTTCGTTTTAAAGGAATCACTTCCACAGTCGTTACATTTGAAAAAGGCGTCCGTTCTCTGGTGAGCTTCAAAATTAAAAGCATGCCCAGTTTAATTATCTGTTCCATCTTGCCTAACAGAATTAGTGTTGTTTCTGCTCTGTTTGGAAAATGGGATAGCATCTCTCATTTTCTAAATTTTTCACAGCATGTCACCCCGTTATTTGTCATTCTATTGCAGGAGCAGCTCAACCACAGGGACCTTGTGGGATAAAATTGCTTAGGGGGAAAAAAAAAATATTCAATGCGAAACTCTGTTGGTGATTAACGTGGAAGCACCATGGTCCTGCTGCTTCCAATCACCCATGGGTATCTGCAGAACAACTGCCAGCCCTGTGGCATTCCAAAGCTGGATCCAGTAGGAAGTGATGAAGTGTTCAGTTCTCTCTCTTTTTTTATTTTTTTTCCTTTTTTTTTGCCTGATCGTTTTCTTTGGTTTTTAACTTGTAACATGGGGCTTGTTCCACTTTAGCTCACAAAAGCTCTTGTCTGATTTTGTATTTCACTGGGGCCCCCACAGAAGCGCGCAGAACGCTGGAAGCTGGGATGGATAAACAAGGAATGTTGTGTCACCGGAGTCTTGTGGAGATGCTGGGTGGTTGTTACCTGCAATTATGCAGCAGAACAGCAGAAATCATTTGGTGCAGAGAAAAAAAAAATCATCAGCAAATGCAGCACTAAAATAATGTTTCTCTTTTGTATTAAAGCCAGAATTACAGGAGGGTACTTTGATCTGTGTTTTAGAAGCTGGAGGTGGTTTTTTTTTCCTGTTAATAACAGCATCAGTGCCTGAAATAAGTAAATATAATCAACACAAGGGAATGGGAATTATGAAATGAAGATTTGATGTGCTTGGGGGAGGAGAAAACACCCATTATAGAAATATAAGAATGAGATTTGCCATTTTTCCCCACGACTGCAGCAAAACCCAGGAAAGTTTGAGCACGTGGATTCCACAGCTCTGACAGAGGCACAACCTTTCCAACCCTGACTCATGTTTTGCAACTGGAGCCAGGAAATAAAGAGCAGTCTCTTACTAGAACGTGTGTGTGTGTTTCACACATCTATTATGTGGTGTCAGAAGAAAACTGCATTTGTCACCATATAATAAACGTGTGAGACAAAAATGGAGCAGGGAAAAAATAAAAAAAAAAATTAAAAAAAAATAAAAAGAAATTGAAAGGAACTTGGCAGGGAATTTGAAGTGGTAAATGCAAGGCTTCCAAATTTTCCAGGAAGGAGGTGGTACTGAAGAGAAATCAAGATGAAATGTTTAGTGCTCCTGATCTGTGCAGTAGGCACCGAGATTTCAAACATCTGTATCACCTTTGGGTGAGACAATGAGGAAATTGCTGTTTGTTCCCTGAAACCATCCTGAGATCTTGGAATTGCAGCTGAAGGAACTTGACATCCCAAGGGGGCGGGGGATATTTTCAGGTTTGCTGAACACCGTGTTTTCCAGCAAAGTGATTGGCAAGTAGTGGAAGAATAAAAATTGTCTCACCAAAACCACCTACAAGACCAAAAGACAGAATATTTCTGCAGTGCAGCAAATGTAGATTTGTTGCTTTAAAGTCTCATCTCTCTCTATTTGTGACCCCTTCCCTCACCCCATTTTCCCCCCTGCACACCCCAGGGCTCTCTGGGGTGTCCTCTGCTGCTCTGGCCTGACCACCTCTCCCACTCAGCCTTCACTGCAGCACAAAACCCCTCATACTGCTTGGGCTGGCAAAATTTGAGATAAAAATCAAATCTGTCGTTATCTCAAACCATAAAAATCAAATCTGTTGCTATCTCAAACCTTTCCAATCCATATCAAGAGAAAATGCAGTGATCTGAAAACCCACAGAAGATATCCAGGATTAAAGAGTTTCCCCTGCACTGGATGGTTCCATTTCCCATTTTAAGCTGTTCTGTTTGGGCAGAGTCTCCTGCTGAGTGAGATATGAGCAGAGGGCATCAAATAATGTCAGAATTACCAGCACAATTCCTAAAACATATTCGTGCAGAGGTAGCTTCTTGTGCTGTGCTTTGACCCCATGCATTGAGATATTTTTTTTGAAGGTTCAATCAGGCCGACCTTCTACCAAAAGTAGGAATTTTCATTCTTTTAATTTACAAATTAAATTTACAATTTGCATCCTGGCAAACACCAGAAGCCAATTTAGGCAGTCAAATATTCACTTTTCCTTCTTCCACCTGAGGCAGAGTGAGAGCAGCAAAAGCAGCTGCTGACAGCAGCAAAGCCCAGCCCAGCGTTCCTGCCAACAAAATTACAGAATGCAAAATTACAAAAGCTGAAGCCAGGAAAATGTGATGTCACCTGCAGCTGTGTCCTCATTTATTGTCATTGCTGAGGCATCCAGACCAGACTGAGGTCATCAGATTGTGTCATCCATCAGAAAAGCCACTCCTGAGTTTGACCAGGGAAAACAATTCTTTATTTCCAGAGCTTCCCCACTCAGATACAGCTTCAATCAGAAATAAAATAAGGGTAGACATTTGCCAATTAGTTATTGGTTCTGCTTAAATTTGACTGAACAGGCAAATACATTTATAATACTTTCTGCCCTAAGTGCTCCAAAATCACATTTATAAATAATAATACTATGTGATATTATATAATGCTATATCATATACAACATATTAAATATATTTTATATATTAAATATATACTATTTAATATATTGTATATATTATATATAAATGATAACCACATCATAACTGTATGAAACACAATTTTTATAAATTCTGCATTGTTTTAGGACAGAAAATTAAGAATAATGCATTTGATTAAATGACATTAAAATAACAAACCAAATTAAAATTCAGCAGAAAGTTCAAGGACCCTTTAATTCCCCATGGAAGCATTGCCATAACTTCCTGAGATGCAAAAAGAAGTGGATGTGTCTTTACTAAGGCACATAACAAAGTATTATCCCAGGGAGAATCCCTACACCTTGGTTATTCTCATTCTTTCTACCATGAAAATTACTTTGAGGGCAGAATCCTCAGCAAGGCATTTTCCAAAAACACAAAGTCAATCTGACTCCTTCATCCAGCATCATCAAACACTCAAAATAAGGCTGCTTTTTAAAAATATTTGCTATGGATCCTTCCAATATGCATTTTTCTTTTCTTTATTTATTTACAACAAGCATTCATTAATATCTCTTTGGATTCGAAGGATAAAACCTTTGCAAAGATTTATCTCTGTGCTTTTCCTGATGGTGGTGGTCATCTCTCAAGGGTCCAAAATCATCGATTTTGGGACAACAAAAGCATATTAGGCTGCTGTGGAACCACTGAGGAGCTTTGAGGAATGGGAGGAAAAAAATCCAACCAAACTTCAGCTGGAGGACACATCCGGTATTTCCACATTTTGCAGCCCCCATTTCCCAGAGTTTTAAATGTAATAGAATCTCCAGTTAGGAATATTTTATGATAATTAAATCCTAGCCATAGGCTTAAAATTTTTAAGCCTTTTTCATCTGGTGAAATCTATTTCTAAGGGAAGTCTTATCATCATAAGGAAGGTAGGTATTTTTAAAAAATAACCAAGACTTGCAAATGTATGATTCTGATAAGGAAATAGACCCATAAGAAGAAAAGGAAAGCCTTTTAAATTTGGGAGGTGTAGTGTGAAGGTCAGGTAGGGTACAATAGCAAGAGAAACTGAGAGAAAAACTCCAAGAGAGAGAGAGAGATGCAAAAAAAAAAAGGGGGAAAAATGGTGAGAAAGAGGAAAATTCTGAACAAGTCTTGTGAAGTTGTATCTGGCCAGTGGAGTGCACTTGGTGACACTAGGGCAATTCCCTCTGCCTAAAAATAAACATTTGATCATTGAACAATTCCAAGGAAAGAAAATGACCTGCATATTTGTAGCTGTCAGAAAAACAAGCAGCAAAGCCAGATGGAGAACTTCAGGTTCAGAGGGATAATTTTACAAATAAACTCGGAATAGGGTGCATTTATAATTCTGACACATGGGCAGCTTTGAGAGCAGCATCTGCAGAAGGTTTTACAGCTACAGAAACAACCACACACACCAGCTGTGGAAAATATGTGTGCAAAGCAATAAAATGCTCACTTGGATGGTTATTCATACTGTAAATAGTGCTATTGACCAGACAAATATTGTATAAAGCTGTTCCCCTCTTCACTGCAGCCCCTTTGACTGATTTATTGTGGGTTTGATTTCTCTCGGATGAATTGCCGTATTTACCCCTTAACCTTGCCCAGTCCTAGCAAATATCTCTTTCTGATATGGATTTAAGCAATTTCAACCCTTCAAAACCTCTCAGTAGATTTTGTTCTCTTTCCAAATAAACATTGCTGGGGTTAGAGTTTCTCACTTGAATTTTCTGCTGCTCTTCAAAGAAGTAATATTTATCCTCTGCAACTGTTCCTTAAGGGGATGCAGGTGAAAGGAAGAAAAAAAACCCAGAATTTCTCCCACCTGAGTGTTTCTGCAAGACAAAGAACAAAAGTGGATTTCATTGTGCTCCAGGATATGACCAAGGCAGTATAAGCAGGGTCAGGAGTGAGTGGCTTCTGCTCCAAACTGGATCATCTTCATTCCAGGAACAATGAGAACACATGGGCTCTCCATTCTGCAGCTCTCCTTTCTATTTTAAGTGTTTTAACATCTCCTGCTGCTGGGTGTGAGACTTGGACAAGGTTTAACATCTCACACATCCCCACTTCCCTGGAGTTGCCAGCAATTCTTTTCACTTCTATCCCACTTTAATTTTACTGTTTCCAACAAAACATTTTGTTGTTGTTTATTCTAACACAGAAAATCAGAGGCATTAGCAGGAGGGGAGTTCTAAATGGCAGCAGGGAAAGGCATTCCCATCTCACTGGGATGTTTCCTTCGGGAAGATTTCTCCACAGGTGGAAAAGATGAGTTTTATTGCTGAAGAGGACTGTGAGACTTAAAGGAGGCAATTACAATTTCACAATAGTCAAAACTACAAGGAATAGCAAGAAATCAGGGAGCAATGTTTGTGGGAAATAAAAAGAGATGCTGATTAGGAGTATTTCAACTACAATTTTGCTGTATCTCGCTTTCAGGAGAAAGGGATTACACATTTGTTCAACAGCTTTATTCTCTGGGTAGTGCTGTACTTTGCAAACCTGTTATGAATGTTTGATAATGGCTTTTTGTCCATCTCTCACACCTTTCTCCCCAATTACTTCCTCAGCTCTTCACAACTCCAGCTGCTCCCTCACCCCTAAATGTTCAAATGTAATATTCAGATTCAAGCAGTAACTCATATTGCAAGGTAAGAGCTCAACAAGACAGGTATTTAGGGATTACCTAACAGATCAGATATTATTAAATAATTCTGTGCTGATCACATATCAGACTTGCCCAAGAAGAGCTTTGTTTTCCACCTCCTGTCTTTGCAATCCCTCCAAAGTCTCTCTGGGCATGGAGAAAGGTTCCAGTTCTTTCCACACTCCCAGAGACCTCCACTGTCAACACTGTTCCTTCCTAAACCAGGAACAAGCACACAGAGGTGCCCCAAAATCCTGTCTTTTCTCATCACTCCTGAGCCTACACATATTATTCACTGCAGGGCTCATGATTTCCATGGCCAGAGGAGTGACAGGACCCCAAAATTTGCTTTAACTCCGGCCCTGCTCCTGTTTTCCAAGCAGAAAGTCACAGTGGGAAGCTGGGCTGGCACCCCCATCAATGACCAGCAGAGTCTTCCTAGAATCCTGTGATTGCAGACACCTTAACTCTTCCTAAAATCCTGTGATTCTACACACTTAAACTGTTCTTTAAATCCTGTGATTGCAGACATTAAACTCTTCCTAAAATCCTGCCATTCTACACACTTAAACCCTTCCTAGAATCCTGTGATTCCAGACACTTAAACTCTGCTTCCAGCATCATTTCAGGCGAGTTCTCCAGCAGTTTTAGCCCAGAGACACAGCACTGCAGAGCTGCTCAGTCCTTGGAGCTCCAGACTCAGCTCAGACCCTAAGGGATGACAGGAGGGACCAGGACCCGTGTCCCACACGATCCCCACCTGGCAGAAGCAAAGGGAGGATTCTCTGCAAAGGGCACCTCAGCCTAATCCAGGTCAGAGGATTCCCCAGGCAGGATTAGCTCACTGAACACGTTCCACCTGCTCTCCAAGTGTAGATGTGATTCCTGAGCCCCTTGGAGACGTGCTGGGGGCCACTGAAGTGTCTTTTCCATTCCAGAGCACTTCCCAAGATGACACCAGCAACTTGAACGTGCTCAGCTTCAGCTCGGCCACGCTCAGCTTCTCCCCATGCTCTGGGAATGGTAAAAAAAAAGGGTCATATTTTCCTGGAAAAGGAATTTGATATTTCTAATTTTAGACTTTCACTTTTGGCCACCTGAGGTTGTCACCTGCCTGGAGATGATGGCAGTGAAACCCCAGGCAGGGATTTGAGTCAGGGCAGGGTCTCACCCCGGGAATTTTGCTGGACTGAACTGATTCCTTCATGCTGATTACCTTGTTTGCTCAGTCTGATCTCCAGATATGAAGTCTGTCTGGGCAGCCTGCAGTTCAAAACGCTGGGATGTATTTTTGGAGAACTCTGCTCCCTCCCATATTTCTAAAAGATCTTTTCACTTCTCCCATTGGTGCTTATTCACTGCCAGCTGTAGAATATTGTTTCCTTGTGTCTCCCTGAATTGTAATGAAGGATAAACACTTTGCATTACACTTCCTGATAAGCAGAAAGCCACTCTAATATCACAAATATTTACATCAGTTTCTAAAGAATGTGAGCAGGAAGATTATTCACCTTCAACAGGAAGTTTTCACAAAATTCAATAGAGCAGCAGCTGTAAAGCCAAAAGTGACCTAGAAGTTTAAAGACTGAGCAAAGTTGTGAATTAAACCAGAAATTCAAACTCAGCAGTTGATAGATTAAAAAAGAACAAGGCTATGGACTGCAGAATCACCACTGGCTACATAAAATACATGGAAAAAATACAGAAAATTTATGAGTTTAAATTTTTTTTCTCCTAGAAAGCAGCACTAAAATCTCCCATTGTGGCACAGTTCCTCAAATTCCCACAGCCTCTGAAAAAAAGTCCTCAAGGGATTTAAGGAAAAACAAATCACAAAGAATTGCAGGGATCTCAGTGGTCTCAATCACAGCATTCCAAAGAAAATCTGACAAAGTTTGGACTCACTGCCGTGCTCTTGCTCGCTTCATTCCCAATATTCCCAAAAATAATTTCAAGAAAGTCACAGTGCTCTCCAAGATGTCTTTTCTTCCCAATTTTGGAAATTTTCCTTAGTTGGGATTTCTGTAGAATGACATAAACCTTTAGTTTAAAAAAAAATATGATTTTAATAAATACAGGATTGTTGAATATGAGATATCCCATTCTTAGACCAGGAAGAAACCTGATTTAAAGAAACATTCGAAACAAAGCAAAAAAATAAAGGAGTTCTCCAAAACCAAATCTCTAGTGCTTATGAGGAACATGTTTAAGATACCTGAGGAATGCTAAAATTAGATTAAGAAAAATGAATTCAGAGAGAATATTTGCCTGAATTCCATGAACTTCTCAGAAATGAGTAGTGGGGAGGGTAATTCACACTCTGAGGTATTTTGTAGGCTCCTCCCAGGCTTCTCCCAGCAGTTTGAATTTACAAAGTGATGAACTGGACAAACAATTTCCCCTTGGCAGGTCTGATCAGGATTTGTCTCCCACCAGGAGCAAAGTGGGGTCAGAGCAGCCAAAATCTCCTCTGGAGGAAACTCCATGGCAGTGACCAAGGCTAAAAGGGGAGCCAAAGCTCCAGGGATTTGTCTGGGAATTCAGAGATGTAATAGAGTTGGGAGAGGGTGAGGCTATCCAAGAGGATACCAGGATGAGCCTGATATCACAAAAGTGGATAGAAATCCCCTCCAGCCTAAATTTAAATGTGATTATAAAACTCCAACCTGGCTCCTCCTTGGTTTTTTATAGTGAAGAACTGAATGGCTTTGAAAAATTCATGGCCTAGCTCAGAGCTTTCATTGTTCTTCTCTGTCACCATGGAAGAAATTGTGGTTTATGCATCTTTGGTATCTTTCTGCCCCTCTGGAGGTTGAGATGAGTGTCCACCATGGATTGGCCATGGATTGCCTGCTCCTCTCTCCCTGAAACAGGCTCCCTGTGATTCCAGCAAAAACCCATCTGCAAACAATCGCTGAATTGTCATTATTACCATTGTTTATTGTCACCATCATCACAAACTGTGTCTAACAAGACATCCCAGACTTTTTGGGGGGGGCCTTAAGCAACATCAAGGTTGACAAATCTGATTCCAGATTTCTGACTGCTGCAGACCAATGTGAACTGGAGAGGGAGAGGGGCTTCCCTTAAAAAAAAGAAAATAATCCATCTGACTGTGGCAGAGCTGCCAGGCACCACCAGAACAAAAACGATTAAAAGATTTATGAGTCAGCCACTCCAATTAAATTGTGCTGGCACTTTTTTTAACCAGCCATTAGCTGCTTTTTTTTTTTTTTTTTTTTTTTTTTTTTTTTTTTTCTTTTTTTTTTTTTTTTGCAACCTTGCATAAGAAGTATTAATTTATTATACTTAGATCTCCAGAGTGGGAAAAACCCCCATCCATTTTCATTGTTTTCCAATTTCTTATACATTAATCTCCTTTTCCAGTGGGAAGACAACAAATTAGCCATTTTTTCAGATATTAAGTGCAACAATGAGTCTCTAACTGCCAATAGGGCTGTGACAGATGCCATGAAAAAGTGTAGAAGAGTCCAAAGCCAAAGGTTTTGAGGCAGTCAAAGGTTCTTTTCCGGCCAAAAATCTCCCTCAAAGGCTCCACAGCTGTGAAGGGGAGGAGGTTTTGCTTTGCATTTTAAGGAAAATGCTCTTCTCCTGCCATGAGTCAAGGGCTAAATCTCTTCCTTAAGTCACTCCCATCAGGGCTTGATCACAACTAAACCAGGATTTTAAACCCCTCATAATTAGTCAAGATCCAAGGTTTAAGACCTAAAACATGAATTTTAACATTGCTGCATCTTCCTTTATCCTCCAAAGGGATATAAAATACCCATCAAGCATTCAAAAGCCACCAGTGATAGAAATTCAGTCCAAAACCATCCCCTCTCAGTGTGGATCCAAGGTTTAATGTACAATTTGGAGCCTGGTCCAAAGCCCTCCCAAACCTGTGGAGTAGGATTCAGTCTCTGGTGGCCTCTGAATTAGGACCTTGAAGGACCAAATTGAGCTGTGCAGTGCCTGTCAGCTCCTTAATGGTCTCAGAGAAGAAGCAATTAAGGCTCTAATTAAGAGGCAAATGGAAGATTAGAAGCAGGTGAATGTTTATAATCTAGATAAAGTACCCACACTGGGAGTTTTGGCTTTACATCTGACGTGACTTCACAGCCATGGGAGGAAGGGTGGATCCCCACAGGGTGTCCTTCCCTCAGGAAATCTGTCCTGCAGCCCTGAGTTCTCTCTTCTCCACTCCACTGTCCCTCCTGTAGATGGGTGGAAAGAGCCATTCCACAAGGACAGACCCAACAACCCTGGAATATTTCATTGTACAAACTGTCCATGGCAAATGGAGACACTGGAATGGACAAAACTTCTCAGCCCATGGAAATTCTCCTTCCTCTCCCTTCCTTAGGTTCTGAGTTCATCCCTCCCACCACACTTCCCATCTGTCATCTGTGCTTTGATGCTTAATCTGTTGTAAAGAAAGGAGCCAAAAGCCAAAATTCCAGCAGGTTTAGCAGGCCCATGACAAACATGGGCTAAGAATTCCATTGGAAGGGCAACAGAACTGGAGCAGAGCTTCCTGAAAACACAGATCTCAGGGCTGATTCTCTTCATGGCAGCCAAGACAGAGCTCATGTCTCTCCTAAAACTCTTTTCATTATATTGTGCAAATATCACACCCCGCAGAACAGAATAACATGGTAAGAAAGAGAAATCAAATTAAAACATTTCCAGGAGTTACTCTGGAATTGTTTTTTGTGCAGATTAAGCTCTTTCACTTCTCGCTAGCAGGACCCAGTAGACAGAGAATCCTGATATTTCAGAGTAGTCTTCTGAAGAGCCTCTGATGCTGGAAAGGACCTCTGATGCTCAAAAGACACCAGTGAGTCTTTACTGATGTGGCCAAAATCAAATACACAGAGAGCTTTAAATAATCAGAGCAATTTCTATCCAGCACCTTGCCCCCGAGGTCTGCAGCACAGCCAGGGCACGAGGAGTCGGTGCCATTGAACCCTCACTCTTCAACCAGTTCTGATTTCCAGCTTTATCCACTGGGACATGGAAACCAGCGTGAGGGGAGCACAAAATCAGCCTGTTCTTTATTTGGGAGCTGAAGCAAATCCCCAGGGATGCAACAGGACTGAGGTGAAAATTCTTGGTTGATTTGTGCCGAGGGTAAAGGGGATCTGTGTGAGTGAGGAAAAAGGTGAAAGAACTAAAAAAAAAATTTAAAGAAAGGAAGAGAACAGGGTTAGATGGGATCTTGGGCAGGAATTGTTCCCTGGCAGGGGCTGGGATGGAATTGCCAGAGCAGCTGGGGCTGCCCCTGGATCCCTGGCAGTGCCCAAGGCCAGGCTGGACATTGGGAGCACCTGGGACAGTGGGAGGTGTCCCTGCCATGGCAGGATTCCATGATTGTACAATATTTTATCGATCCCATCCATGCCAGGTAACCTCTCTCTTCCCACAGCACACCCTCAGTTTCTCCCAGGCACCTGGGAGATGTGAGGACACCAAAATCTTCATCCTTCAGGGATACAGGAGAGACACATCCATGGGAGCCCATGGAATCCTCCAGGCAGTGCTGAGGCAGCTGGATTAGCATCCTTCAGCTTGAGACCCAAAAAAGCCAGCACAAGGATACCACAGGGGGAGCAGTGCCCTTCAGCCAGACAGCTTCCAGGTGAAAACAGCACCATGCAGCACAGGAAACCTTATCTGTGCTATTCTATGTACTGCAGGACTGGAGAAGATAAGGAAAAATCCATTTTAAAGCAATTTCATAGAGGATGGCCATAACTTACTTAAATGGGCAAAATACACACCATACCTGTAGGTTGTTTGGACAAAAGGTGAAGAAAATAGCAGGAGGAGCAGGTGTAGTGGCACAAAAATGGCACTTTGTGTGCAACTGGGGCCATGAAAGCCCAGAAAATGCAGGTTGTGCCATTAATCCATGCTGGCATTTGTAATATGTGTTATAAAGTCTTTCTCGTGAGACCCTGTGGCATCACACTACGAGGAAATGAAGAAACCATGCTGAAATAAAGAGGATATTCCAAGCAGGTGGTGGCATTAGGCAGCAACTGTGTTTTCCATAGATGTCGTGTAATTACAGTCAGCTCAGGCTGGGAGATCTTGTAAAAAAGTATTATTTGTGCTGGGGTAGCTCCCTTCTGTTCTCCAGGCTGTAAAAATCTTACTTTTTTTCATTACTGTGAGCCCAAAGGCCTGGTGTTTAAGAGACCCTGGGAACAGTCAGAATCTGTCAAGGAAGAAATGTAATTTTCTTCGTGAGTTTTGAAACACTGGAAAACCTCTGAGTTCATAAGATTGCAATAAAGACCAGGGCTGAGGGCACTCAAATACACATGGTCACTCCAATCCCAGGCAAAATGAGTGACAGGGTCCTCTAACTCCTTTTGTGGATGTGTGGGAAGAAAGGTTGGAGAAAGGCAGAGGGATTGATATAAATCCAAATTCCCTTGCTAGCACAGAGCACCTTGGGTTATGGTTTAAGGTCAGTTAAATCAGTTCTTCCACTGCAGACTGAGAGACCAATAATTGTGCTGAGAAAGGAAGTATCTTCTCTCTATAAAGCATTTTGAGCACAGATTATGGTTTATCTTCTCTTCCTACGAGTTTAAAAGTTGTACAAGTCTGTCAAGGGGGAGGACAGGAAATTTGCTGGTGGAGAAGGAGTTTTTTATGGCACAAAACCATTTTGATGGTAAAACACAGCATTTTGGAAGGCTTTGCTGCTGCCCAGAGGACATTTTTTTTGTCTCAAGATGCCGAGATCCTGAGTTGGAGCATTTTTCAGGGCATGTGAGAGCACTTGAGTTCACTGAATCAGCAGAAAGATTTGTTGCTTTGAGTCAAGTCTAACCATGTCATCTCCAGGGACTTTCCATAATCACTGCACTGAGATTTTTCATCCAGACCAAAAGAGATCCCCAAATCTATCTCAGATATTCTATTTGTTATAGAATAAACATAAATATAGGGGTTGGTGCAAGTTTTCAACTTCCTCCCCTCTGTCTTATGTTCACAGTGTAAAGAAAGACCATTTGCTTAGGAAAGAAAAAGGGTAAGCAGCACTTTGAATTCTGAATTTGGACACCCAGATTTTGCACAACATGCTTTTCTTCCACATTGAAATAGGATTCTGAGGGGGAGGAAATGCTCAGATCAGAGTCCTTTGGCCTTGTTTGGCTTTGGGCTGATCCCACAGAGAGAAAACAGGGACAAGGCCAGCACAGGTGTCATGTTCCAGAAAGGAGGGTGGGCAGGAATGAGAGGAGATGCAGCAAAAAGCAGGATGGGCAGGAATGAGAGGAGATGCTGCAAAAAGCAGGATGGGCAGGAATGAGAGGAGCAGGGGGGCTGCAGATTCAGAGGTGGAACCTGAATCAAACAAGAACCTTTTGGAATCAACCCAACATTGCTGCCTCTGCCCTCCAGCTGCTGTGGCCACGTGCTGAGTTTCCCCTGCTGGATAACTCACCACTGTCTGCCCAAAAATGAGGAACGGCATCACACAGCCTTGAGATAAAACTCAGGTGGGGCCACAGGAATGAAACACGTTCTGACAGGATCAGAAATGGATCTCTGGCGTGGCCCAGGTGGACAGAGCAGATCCCTCCGTCCCCTCTCACCCTCTGTCTCATTGTTTCCACACCTGAAGAACTGAGCACTCAGCTCCCCCAGACTTCAGCTGCACAGCTCAGTGATAACTGAGACTCATTTTTAGGCAATTTGCATGGTTGGGAACAATTACAGCAAAGGCACATCAACAGAGAATCAAGCCCTGCATCTAATGTTGGTAATGCTCTTAATAATAACAACCTCACTTTCCTGGAAGAGAACATTAAACCTGTTCAAAATACAGTATTTTTTTTCCAAATGATAGTATTTCTCCCCTCCTACACCACATCTACCTTAATCATCTGACTCCCACATAGCTGGCTCGACTTCAATGACAGTCTCCTCTACTTGCTTAAAAGTCATGTTATTTCCACTGCCATCAAAAAGGCAGGATTTTCAAGTGAAGTTATTAAAGTTTCCAACACAAGGAACAGTGCGTGGGTGCTGCTGAAGTCGACTCTCAGGAATGAAAAAGAGATTCCTTCACTTCTACCAGGGGATTGAGGCTCCCTTCTCTCTGGGGCCAGGAGACTCCTGTATTTCTGATGATGTTTTGTCTGTCTGCAAAGCGTCTCAAAAGTTTTATCTGTTCCACCATGAGCCAAACCTGAATTTCCATCAGAAAATATGCCAGGGACCAGGCCTGGTGCTGGATGAATGGAAAAATACTTGGGTATTAACGTGGCCAAAGTCTCCTAGCCAAAATAGTGTAGGTAACGGGCAATGCATGATCCAAACTTCCCTCTGGAGGCTCCACAAGGCCATCCCATCTCCCTCTCCACCATTCAGACCCTGATTTATTACAGCCAGGAGTAATTAGGTCTAATCCACTGCCTTATTCCCACCCAACTGCTAAACCCCTCATATTGGACACAGAAGAAGGAAATTTTAATACTTTAATTGGGAAAAATCCCTTCACTGCTGACCTGCAGCTGTTCACCTCGAGCTCTGTGGCTGTGCTGACACGTCATGGGCTTTAATCAACTTTACTGAGTTTCAACAAGTTTTTGCAGCAGCCCCCTGTGCAAGCACAGGCTTTGTCAAGGGACAGTGGTTTATTCATTTTGTGCCACTGCTCTGAGCTGAGAGCTGAGGAATTAATCTCAAAGCAGTTCAGTGTTTTGGGAGAGTTTCAGCTCCTTTTCCACACAGCTTTCTCAGCAGCTGTCAGATCACTGCAGGGCTTCATTTGCTGAATCCACCTGCCTGAATTTTCACCTCATTAGCTGCCCTTTCACAAGTCCTGTTCAGTCCCTCTGAATTCAGCAGGATCGGGAGGTGGAGGGATGTTCCAGCTGCTACAGCAGCAAAGGTTTATGAAAACTGCATTATGCAGCACCTACACTTGTAATGAATTAAATCCTCCAGGTTCATTCATTCATTGTTTCGAAACCTGTCAGAGCCCCTTAATCAAATTACAGCCTTCACTCAGCTCAGGATTACACCTGATGGTGTGTCAGTCTGACATTCTGTCATCCCCTGATGGGGAAAGAGAAAAGAGCAGACAACAAAGAAAAGGAAGCATTTTTTTTATATCAGAAGTGGAATCCCTTCCCTTCACCAGCAGAATTGCATGCTAGTTGTGATGACTGATTTTTTTTGCTTTTTTTAAACTTTGATCCATTCTATTTTGTGTTTGTATTAAAAAGATAAGGTCAACAATATCTGGCATTTCTGACGGCAGCTATTGAGTTTTAGTTGTCATGGGAGTTTATTCCTTAGTCTCACCTCTGTACAAACAGAAAAGTTCTATTTTGGCCACCATTCCCCAAGATGGAAACAATCCCCAGTTATTTGGGTTTCACAGAATGATCACCTTGAAAACAAGCACAGGTTTTAATTCTCTCCAGAGATGAAATAGCAGGTGAGGAGTTTGGCCTTCAGCATGGATTGGACTCGTGGATTCATGGCCTGTTGTCTTGCCCAGGTAGGAGATGAAGAAGGGCCCAAAGTCAGTTCATTCCCCTGAAATGCAGGGGAACCTGCAGCTGTTCTTGAGAGCTGTCCAAAATCTTTAATTCTGGACTAATTCCAATGAAATTCTTCCTTCAGTAGAAAAACAGCAACAATAACCTTTAGCTCCTGTGTGAAATCACCCAGTGTGGCTCTGGAGAGAGGATTGCCTGTCTGGAATGGGAATGGTGGCAGAATTCAGCTGCAGGAGGTTTGAGCCACCGCTGTGTGTGACAGCCTGATTGTCTCCTCACTGCTGGTCCTGGGTCAGTTCCTGTGCTCAGCTTGGTCTGTACCCTCATGGCAGGGGTGAGCCAAAGCGAGAGCAGCGTTTGGGCTCTCACAGTCCCTCTTGCAGTGTCTCTCCCTGGCTTGGAGTCTGGCTTAGAGCAGCAGATCCAAATTCAGATTGTGCAGTTGAAGCTGTCACAGTCGATGTGGCGGTGCCCTGCTCAGCACTGACCACAGCCACGTGCTGACACCACAAACAAAAAGAGGGAATTGTGTGTTTGGTCAGCACAGCTGAGGGAATTGGCAGCA